TCAACTATGTTGCTTTTTTATAACTAGCAATAACATTTTTCACATTCGTGGTACGACTACTTGGTATCACTTGTAAACAATGCTAACAGCTTTCGTACTTATCGTCTCTACGATGAGAAATCCTCATTTTGAGTCAAACTACTTCAACCTGTCCAATAGTAGATCATAAACATAAGCCAAGTATATTCATGCAAGTCACAGTCATATGCCCTCTCGAGCACTTCCCGCCTCAGCTGAGACTGCTTGCGAAAAGGTTGCAAAAGCGGGCATCCTAAAGACTTCTCTCTAACCTCAATTACCTGCATCTTCAAAATTCTGCGTAATCATCAAGGGGCAACTACCATTAACCTGTAGGTGGTTGGGGTATATGGGGTGTAGGGTTTCGGGTTTAGGGTTTAAACCCTGAACCCTAAACCGCGTTTAGGGTTTGGGAATTGTGGGCCCTTTCTAGGGTTCATCCTGATAGCGTTTGACAGATGATGGAGATGTTCCGAGTATAGCAGAGCCCTTCGTCACGGAATCCTTAGCGGCCTTAGCGTGAATGAAGCAGGAGCTGCACACCATGCCAGTATCTTGCCCAAAAAGAGGTTATACTAGGGTATGCAGGGGAACGGAAAGAAAATGCAACCTGCATCATCTAGGGTTCAGGGCTCATAGTAAACGCCCGGATAATAAACATTCCCCCTTTCTTTCACGGTACGATTTTGCGAATTTCTGAATTCCGAGGGCCCTAACCCCAAAGTCCCGAAAACCCTCAATCCTAACCTAGACCCTATAACTAATATTGATACTAATTCTAATATTAATAGTAATACTAATACTAATACAAATATTGATATGAATAAACCCTAAACCCAACAGCTGAGGCACTGCGAGTCTTCTGTGACCTCGCATGCAAGGTGGCAGACGGTTAAAACATATCGTCGTCTAGAAAACATGTGAGCTAGTCCAAACTCCTGAAAGGGGGTCATAATATAGGGGATGATATAGGGGAGTATTATAGGGGTTATAAAGGAGGATACTAGGAGTTTAGACTATAGCCATGTTACAGAAGTCCTACAAGAGCTTCGCGTGCCCGGTACGCACATTGGGGCATGGGGGTGCAGGGTATTTCTAGTTGGCAAGACGGCGGGTTCGAGTTTCAGCGCCTTTCCAAGTTTCAACAACTGATTCTGACACAGAGGTGCCCACTTCCAGAATCCTAGATATCCTGGCTTGCTGTTGAACAACTTAATACGTTACTGTGATATGGGTATATAATAAAAAATCGAGATTCTTAAGTTTCTACCAGCAATTAGTATCATTTAAGTGGTAACGGTTAATTTAACGTACAGAATATGACAAGGGCACGGCCATAGCACGGGGACATGCTAGAGATTCCAGATTCGGTTTCTGCGAGGGGACTGCATCTTTAAGCTTGGACAGAACAGGAGGCCCAAGAAGCGAGCTTGGACACTGCTAGTGGAGCCGCAAGCAACAAAAAGGCAAGGGTAACAAGGAATATCTTGTTTAAAGCGTTGGAGACACCCAACTGAAGAAACTCTCAGAAGGTATCTACTTGCACATGCCCATCAACCACTCTGACTCCCGAGCCAACTCACTTCTCTCGGACCCTGCTGCTTCAGCAACTCTCACAGTTTTGGCACCACCAGCTTTGCACGCGCATGTACTGCAAAAGGTTCACCGTGCTAGCATACACAAGCACACACACTGCCCCCTAGCGTGAACCATGATTCCACACGGGAATTAGGGGAGGGGGACGCCTGAGCCTCCTCAACACCCCTCTGGATCCCCCCCATGGTCCCTAAAGACCTCGGCCCTTTTCCAGAACGCACTCCACACACTTGTATAATATGGTTATATATATCCCTTAATAGGACCCCTAATATAGACTGTTACTGGGTAGGGGCATTGCAACCACAAACCTGCGCTCCATGCCTCCACCAGATATCTGAGCTCCGCGTCAGGGTCCGAGCTACGGAGGAGGCAGCCAGGGCGTTGTCGCACTAACTGGTCTACGCTGCTGTCCTTGCAACCGGGATATAGGAGTTTCCCAAAATTAGGGGTACCTTTTTGAGGATCCCCATAATAAGGACTATAGTATATTGGGGTCTATATTGGGTTCCCCTTATTTTGGGAAACTACCATATTGGTGACGTGCTATTTCGAACGACCAAGGATTCGGTACTGTGCTCAGGTTCCCACAGACATGTGAGCCAGTCTTAAGCTTGAAGTATCCCCTTAATAACCCTTATAAACACCCCTTACATAACTCCATTTAAGGAGTTCAGGTTATGGCTCATGTGACATTCTGTTCATCAACATCCAAGCCATATAGGGGCTGCGTGGCTTTAGCTAGGTCATTAAAGGAGTTTAGGGGCTATAGTCCTCCTTAAGTAGATAGAATATGGGGTATATGGGGATCTTATTATAATATCCCCAAAACCGTATTCTATCTACCTAAGGGGGACGATAGGGTAATGGCCAGACTTTGTGTCAAGCGCGCTCTTTTTTAATCTGTCAAGGTCTCTAATGGATCAGAGTTCAGTCTATGGACTTGGGAAAAGGGTTTCATGGGCTTTTCGAAACAGGGGTGCTAACTTAGGACCCCACGGATATGGGAAGTCTCAGGCGATTTTACGTAAAGGATATAGTTCCAGGATGGTTTGGTAAGCTGCTCTCCTTCTAGTTAGGGTGGGTTTGTGCAAATAGCAGATGTTGGAAAAGTCTTGAGTCATGCTAACGATGACTCTTTGGAATCCTAGCTACTTGTAATCTTATTACCTCGAAGAGGCTAAAACCGATTTGCTCAGACAGCTACCCAGCACAGCGGCAGCTGTGGCGGCAGCATCTCTGATACTGAATGCAAAACATGAGCCAAGTGACTGCGCTGCACTTGCAGTAGCCGCGCTTGTTGTCGCGCCTAACAACCTGGCTTGCCCCCGTTGACGGGGCAACGTATGAGTGGTATTCGAGTTTGAGAATTGCGGTCCGGTCGCACAAGCAGTATGCTTCAGGGTGCCAGGGTATCGATGAACTTTGGCAGGCTTCAGGGCCAGTGAGGATGTTTTTTGTGGCGGAGTACAGACTCAAGCTTCCGAACGTCATGGTCACGCCTAAGCCAAGCTGCTTGTCAGGGGAGTGTCATGAGGACCCCAACATTGACACATACTCCTTGACAAGCTGTTACGACACCTGGTACAGCAGCTTACGACCCAACAGTGTGCATTCGTGTGCATTTGTGCGGCGACTGCTTAATGAAGCAAAGAGGGGTGCCGCCATCATTCTACTTCCAACTTCCAAGCCCTATACGACGCAGGACAACAAGCAATGGACATTTTCACAGTGTCATTGGTTGCGAGTTGAATCGCGGCTAGAACGGTCCGAGTGCGCAATGGATGGCTACGTTGCTGTGGGCTCCATATAGAACGCCGAAGCCCCTGCCTGCTGACATTCTGTGCATTTTGCATCTCGAGAGGTACTACCGCACAAGTGCAAAGCCAGACTTCAGAAGCAAAAGTCTTGCACGCTTGGAAGTGCGCACCTCTGAAACCCCAAAGCCTAAACAATGAGAATAACACTGATACACGTTGTTTTAAAAAGTGATAGTAGTACGTACCAATAACAGTAAGAATAACAATCAATCCTTGAACCAAACAGCCCACGAAGATTTTTCAACCCTTGCACCTGGAGAACTCCTTCGCAAAACTCCTCCTTCGAAACCTCCAGCTGATCGCACAGGCGACGCCTATGACCGGCTTAGAATTTGAGGCTCGAGGGTCCCAAAATGGGGCTTGTCATTTGGGGTAAAGGGTTTGGGGTTTAGTGTTCAGGGGACAGGTTTCAACATCAAAGTTGTAAGGGTGTAGGGTTGCAGGGAGCATCATTCAACCTGATACTTTGCAGGAGGTTTGTGCTTGCGGATTTCTGCAACCTTGATCTGCCTTTGGCATCGCTTGGTGTCAGCGTCAAGGGGTTTCTACTTGCGGGCTTAGGGTGTAGGGTTAAAAGGATCTCTGATTAGGACTCTGGTGTTTTGAGGTAGAATGGCCCCCATGCATCGAAATACTCAAGTAACTTATTTAGTTTTCGTATACAGTTCTCTGCGTTCCAGAAGGTGGAAACTACTATGTTATACATAGTCGTTTCGTTTCGTGTCCCTCAATCAGGACCCTCAACAATAACCTCGAACATCCCCAAGCCTTAAACCCGTTAACGGCTTTTTGAGGGTCTCGCTTCGGGCTTGGAGCTCCAGTCATCGTGTCCCACGCTAATATGTGGGCTACTATACGCATCGGTCATTCTTAGGGCGTTTGGGTTAAGGGTCAGGGAGCAGTTAAGCAGGGGTCCTCGGTGGAGCCAGCCACCCTAAAACCTACACCCTAAACTGCCCTAAACCCTAAACTCTAACCTCTATACCTAAACCCTGAACCCTAAACCGTGAACCCTATACCGCTAACCCAAAAACGACTACACTAGACCCTAAACCCATAAGCTCTAAGACCGTTCATCCAGGCCACAGGGGAGCGAAGTCATAGCCCCCGAAGCGGTTGAAGGTGTACAACCTCCAGGTAGGGATCATGAAGGGGGTAACCCTTAAACCCTGAACTCCCTTAGGCCATAGACCCTGAACTACGCTAAACCCTAGACCCTAACCTACCCTGAACCCTAACCCTGAACTACCCTAAACTTTAAACCCTAAACTACCAAAAGCCCTGAACCCAAAACTACCCTAAACCCAACACCCATAATTAACAGGAAGCCACTCCCTTACTCCCTCGTAAGCCACCAATCATTGAAGGGAAGCTAGCTGAAAGATTGCATGTCGCTGAAAATTCGGATCCCCCTGCAGCAGCGCCGTGGCGCCGTTTATAAGTATGCCTAGGATGTTTGTACCTGTGAACGAGCAGCTGGGCCCCAGCAGTTTGAACAAAACATAATGGTCTAAAACCCTTCGAAAAATAGCTCAAAGTCCATTATTTCACTCGAAACCCAAATCCCTACGTAATGTCAAGCAGCAGTCCCTGGTGCGCAAGGAAGCCGTCGCCATCCAACAGCCCCTGCTGCTTCGACATCTCGCCAGCCCATAGCACTGCCATGCCGACACACTGGCCTCAAAAACTGGGTTAAGGTTTAGGGTTTAAGGGTTTTGGGTTTTCGGGTTTAGGGTTTAGGGTTTGGGAATTTGGGAATATAATCCACATATAATCCCTATAGACTATATTACGTTGTTCCCTACTAAGATCCAGTAAAACAACGGCTACGAAAAACCAGGTGCCCCCTTCTTCAGAGTCCCCTAATGGGGATTGAGTAGTTTGAGGTGTATATTGGGCTCTCTCCATTTATGGAAACTACCATGCTGGGGAGGGAATGCAGTGTACTACCGCAAGTTGCAGGGATTGTGCAAGGTCTGGTGAAAAAAATGCCACTCTGAAGCCGAATCAAAGGATCTGCGGGTCAAAAACCATCTCTGCTGGTTACAGTCTCCGTAAAACTCCTTTAGACTTCTAGATTCTAGAAGTACTTGTCAAGCGATTTTGGAGAAACTACATCACACTCCCGCTCCCGGTGCGAAACTCCTAGGGCCTAAAATCTTCGAACAACGTACCGTGAGCCCTTAACCATCAAACGTTGAAAGCACAACACCAGAATCCTGCCAGCAGAGCCACCAGACCAACAATCCTTCCTAGCCGAGCGAGATGTACAGATCCTCCAGAACAAAAATATGTAATCCCAGCTTCCATTTCATTTTCCATTTTCTTTTCCATTTGATTCTTCATTATTGGGGTACCTTACTATTACTATTACTATTAAGGCTAGACCCTGAATGTGAGTACCTGTCAAAAAAAATTCTGCTAGCATGCAGGCGCGCAGCCATGGAGGCGGAACGCCTCAGAGTAGTCCTCAGCGTCCGGGGCAGGTCGTCAGTTGGGAAATTCAGTGCCCATTAAACCCTAGGGTTTAGGGTTTAGGGTTGAGGGTTTAGGGTTTAGGGGGCTGAACTTTGCTTCTGTCCAGGGCACTTAGAAAGTGGGTTAATTAGGGGGATTACAGTTTACAGGGATTATCATCAGGTCTATAAGGGTTACAGCTGTACTTGCTAAGTCCCCCCGGCCCCCCAAGTCGGGTATCTTTCAAGTCAGCGCCCTTGTGTCAGTGGTAGTTTGTCACGATTTCCAACAAGCTGACCCAGCCTATCCGAGAATGCGCCCAACACTTTGGTGAGACGTTTATGGATGGGTCCCCGCATGATAATACTGTTGATGGAGGAAACCTATGACCACCTTCATGGCATCATTATTCACTAGGGGAACATTCGTTGCTCGAGGGGGTGTTTGAAATATATGGAGTTGAATAATTAATTGTTGTGACCAGAAAGGGTCATGGCGTTCCGCTTTTTAGACGAGGGGTTCCGAGGAAGGGCTGCAATTGTCGTGCCGCATGCCGCTGCATCAGCCGGATAACGCTTTGTCAGTATCACTACAATCCCTAAACCTTCAACCCTAACCTCTAAACCAATAAGAAGATCCCTAAACCCGAGCCCTAACACCAGTGGCATCTAAGTCAGTTGTAGCTCAGGCTGCAAGGCCGCAGGCAGTTGCTCGTCGGTAGAGGCCGTTCATGAAAGCCTGGCATCAGGGGTCTTGGACTGGAGCTTTGATGCTTCAAGGCCTTGCCACCATCATACGATTTCTTATTATAGGGCTCAGGGTTTCGGGCTAGAAGGGAATATCTTCAATAGGTATCCTGTAGGGAGTATATTCCCTTTTTTTCCCTACTAAACATGCAAGATCAGGCTTGATGCTGCGGCGGCAGTCTTTTCGTTTAGGTCATGTTCGGGGCTTGAGGTTTAAGACGTTTAAGACTTTCGACGCGTACGTGGGAGGTTTCAGAAACCATGGGGCCCAATATGCTACAAATAAATGGGTTGTGTATGTAGGCGCCCCCAAGAAGGAGCCGCGTTATCAGGACTTGCTGTAGCAGCAGTTTTAAGCTGACTTTTCTTGAAAACAATAGGTGAGCGGTGGCCTAAACCCTTTGAACCTTCGGTTCTCGTATCAATCACTATCGCGGAACCTTGCGTTTTACTGACGCGGTCACAGTGCCAGCACATCGCGAGCTTCTGCTGCTCTTTTCCACTGACGCGA